CCCCAAAACCCACCCATACAACACCAACAACCCCACCCCCCCCCAAACAACAAACATGTTTTCTTAACAGAAAATTCGTATCTCTGCATCTATGTCTTTGGAGGAGGTCAGGGAGGGTGCTTTAATTTACACATGCAAATAGAGACAGTGCAGGTCTGCTGTATTACCTGCAGATAAATACCTTCTTGAAACATGACTTACAGGACTTGATGGCTCTCTCTGGCTCCTGATGCTGTGGATGCTACCAATTTCTGTCTGAGAGCTGGAGTGTGACAATCCTTCAAAGTAAGGTCTGAATAAAGCAAGCAAAACCAGTTTCTTATTATCAAAAAACACTAACAGAGAAAGTCCACCACATTCACAGCAAAGCAACATGAGTGCTCCCAGGATGTCCTACTGCTCCCCAATGGTTCCAGTAAAATTTATAGGCTACTTCTGAACGGAAGGGGAGGTCTCCAGGACACCAAGAGAAGCCAGAAAGTCCAGGGACCCCTGCCTAGCCCTGACACTGACAGACCGACCTCCATCTAATGGATCCAACATGTCACCTGTCACACAGCAGACCATATTTATAAAGGTCTTACTAGGAACACTCACATGCTCCCACACTACACACCAAACAGCAGCTTTTGTTTCCATAAAATCCAGGGTGGGCATGTGGGTCCAGCATTTTCCCACAGCAGAACAGAATACACGTTCACCCCACACAAGCAGTGGTGTCCTCACTACCCCAAGCACCAGGTGCAAAGTTTCACACTGCAATTCTTGTTTCAGCTTTGCAAATGCTGATTGAACTACATGCCATTCCAGACAGGGTCTAGCTCTTGACTGAAATACAGCAAGTAGAGTTACTGCCCCCCACCGATACTCTGCTCCTGTAAGTGACTCTTGGTGCTAATACGCATTTTATTTCCAGCTTGCATCTGGATTTGGCTGCCAGCCCTAGGATCCAATTACACATTTGCTCAGTAAGATAAGGTATCGCATACAATCAGATTGCGCTTCCACGTAAAAAGGCAGCTCATCACACCAGGCTACAAGACTCAATTACAATTTAAGGAACTGATTTTTTTTTTTTTTTGTTGCAGGAAAAACCTGCTGTCATGGTGTAACTAACCCCAGGCAGCAGCTAAGCCCTACACAGCCACACACTCACTCCCCTCACAGTGGGATGGGAGAGAGAATCAGAATAGTAAAAGTGAGAAAACTCGTGGGTTGAGATAAAGACAGTGTAGTAAGTAAAGCAAAAGCCGCACACGCAAGCAAAGCAAAACAAGAAATTCATTCACTTCTTCCCATCGGCAGGCAGGCAGGTGTTCAGCCATCTCCAGGAAAGCAGGGCTCAATCACGCGTAATGATTACTTGGGAAGACAAACGCCATCACTCCAAATGTCCCCCCCCTTCCTTCTTCTTCCCCCAGGTTTATATGCTGAACATGACGTCATATGGTATGGAATATCCCTTTGGTCAGTTGGGGTCAGCTGTCCCAGCTGTGTCCCCTCCCAACTTCTTGTGCACCCCCAGCCTACTCGCTGGTGGGGTCATGTGAGAAGCAGAAAAGGCCTTGGTTCTGTGTAAGCACTGCTCAGCAGTAACAAAAACATGCCTGATTTATCAACACTGTTTTCAGCAGAAATCCAAAACACAGCCCCATACTAGCTACTATGAAGAAAATCAACTCTACCCCAGCTAAAACCAGCACACCTGCCTAAACAGCATTTATCACATCCCCTTTCAAGATTAGAACACGAACTGGACACAGCAAATGACAAAGTGTCTCCTCAGGACCAGACACAATAAGTTGTTCTTCCAGCAATATTCCAGCAATCACATATCCCAGAACAGTTAGCTCCTCGGCTCGAGGGAACAGGACACAAACCGTAAGTGTGTACAGTACAACATTTTGGCTTGTTTCAACGCAGCTGCTTACCACAACACATCTACTTTCAAGTCCCTTCAGGGTAGGGCCTACCAACTGGCAATATATTGGGTCAAGCTCCCAACGCCTTTATAAGCCACCAGCTGCATCACTTACCACTGCTGCCCCAGTCTACCCTTGACATCTGGCTCACTCATAGGGAACAAGTCACTCCAGACTCAGAATCTATTCTTAGCCCAACTAGGTTATTCTACATTAATTAGGATATTTTGACACCTGGTAATTAGCTGGCATTTAGCAGACACTGTACCGACCAACTGCAGTGGTAGGCTTTGCTTGTTTCAGAGCTATCACAACACTGAAGGCCTGAGCATGCAACCACAATCCAGCCAGAAGCATGAGTGCAGCTCAGTCTCATGTTTTCAGTCTTTATTCGACAGGGACATGACACAGCTCTGTTAGCACAGGGTTCTGCATCTGCTCAAGACCCTGAGCCAGCGATCCCCAGCTCAGCTCCACAGTGCTGTGATTGCCCATATGTCAGTGCCCACAAAAGCCGGTTCAGAACAGGCCTACGTGTATCTACATGTGCTACAGTCAGACCCCTTGGGCCCTGAGGAACTCCTTTGTTTCCTGCAGCTCTGCTTCCTTAATCCCTGCAAAGACTCTCTTTCCACATAGGGTCTTATAAGCTTTTCCAGAAAGACACAGTCTGCCTTGTCCATCCCTGCCTCTACTTCTGCAGCTTCCAACCACATCTTCTGCCTTAGCACAGATTTCCTGGCTGTTTCTACCACCTCTTCAAAACACCTGTGTACAGTTCAATTCTACTGCCTGCCTGCCAGCCAGCAATTCCTACCCCTGTGCTCAGGTGGCAGGGCAGGCAGAACATCTGCAAAAGGAACAAGGAAGACATGAGACTGAAGGGAAGTTAGACCCTCCCTCCTCTACTACCCCCAGCTCACAAGCAGTCATTCATGTTGTAAGAGCACACACTAGGGCTCTGACACCAGGTCAAGAGGGTAAAAAAACCCAGGATGGTGGGGTGAGAATAGAAACACCACCTAATTTGTGCTGACACTGTGCATGATCTCTCTCTGGCCCAGCACCAGCCACCCCACACTTACTTTAACTTTGGCTTTGGAGTGCTCAAGACACTGTCATCATCCTCCATTTCTGGCCCACTGTCACTGGGGTTCTCTATATCCAGTGTGTCATACAGAAGGTCCAAGTCCTCCTCCACCTCTGGAACATGCTCTGCTGGGTCCTGCTCTGAATCCAGAACCTACACACAGGACAAAAGCACACATTGCTGACTCTGCTAAGAGCCAGACTAATCCTACATCACCTGATCTCCCCTGAAGACTGCAGCACACCAGTCTTGGGAGTAAGATTCTGTTCCTAGTGCAAGGATACTATATCCAACAGAAACATTAAGTACATGAGAAGTGCTTGTTTTGGGTCAAGCTTGTCAGTGTCTGGTTAAGCAGGAGTTACCTATTGGACTACGCGTTCACAAACAAGCTATTAACCATAGATTATGTTCATTATTTAACCCCATTCTATAAACAAAGCTTTAAAAAGGCCTCTAATGGAGTCCCAGTTTTCTTTGAACAAGTACAGAAATGCTGTACTTCCAACAGTGTAACCTGTCTTGGGTTTTACTGAAAAAGTTGCCATGACACCTCCTGATTTGATATCCAAGCAGGTAGAAATGACAAAAATGTCCACAGGAGGCGCCTGAAACCTGGACAATGATCAGCTGCCACCAACGCAGACCGGAAGAGAACAGGTATCTCACACAAAACTTCCACAGGTTGCTTCACATAGACACCAGAGTAAGCAGGCAGCTGTGCACAGTTCAGAGCTTGCTTTTTGAATGGCAGCTCCAGGTCTCATGGCTGAGACCTCAGCTATGGGTGCTGACTCTGCTGAGCTAACTTGGGAAGAACAGCAAAGCTAACAGGACTGTTTGGAAGCATAAAGAAGCATGAGGAGTTACTCCCTCTTTCCTACAGGCCACAAAATCAGCACACAGCCATACAGCCAATTAAGATGTCAAGTGTTTTTATATTAGATACTTAACGTTACACAGATTTCTTGGGTTCTGGATCTCTTTCATTTTCAGCTCTGACCGGACAGCTGACTTTCCTGTGGATCTGCGTTCCCTATCCAAGTTTTTCACGTCTTGCCTGGCTGTTCTAGTAAGATGATCAAACAGGCTGGGATTTAACTTCACAAGCAATGTACACCATAGACTACTTGCCTTTGAAAGGGTCAAAGATAATTTCAAAGCAGTCTGCAAAATTAATGGGTACACACGTGGTTGCCAAAATGTGCTTTTGATAAAACTCGATCTAGAAAACGTTTGATGACATTTTAAAGTTGGCCCACAAGCCTCCATGCAAAGCCAGGGTGTAAGGAAAGGTCACATCCACTGCAGACTTGAAAACAAAATGAAGGGAACTAGGGGAAAAACAGAAGAGTGTTCCTGAAAACTGAAGCAAGATACACCAAGCAGAGGGCAACACACAAGACAGGAAGGCTTACAGAATGAATTACTTACCTCATCAGACACTTTAAACCTCTTCAGCAATGCCACAACCTTCTGTTTGAAGTTTTGTTGCTGCAAGTCAAAGACACTTTTACATAAGTAAAGCATTAAGTGAACTGTTTTCTCCCAGTCTGCCAGAAGCCCAGACACATCTGACACTGGTCCTCTAGCAAGCAACTCCTGGCACCACAAGTCTCTTCTGTTCTTATGTTGAAATCAGCTTTTCCACACCTATGATACTTTACTTCCTGCATTACAACAAACTACATCCCACTCCACCAAGCATTACAAATCTTCTGGCCCTGATGGATGGCACACCATTCTTGGTTGGACACACAGTAGATAACATTATTTTATCTGCCAGACTGCCTCCTGTACCTGTTTGATATATTTCTGGCAAACATGTGACAGTCAACTTTTCTGTTTCTTAACATGGGTGAGCCAGCATAGGAATCTGCCCACTGACCCAAAATACAAATGTGTTTTCCACCAACAAAGCACTGTTTTTCCCAGGAGCTTGCAGTTCATCCTGGCAGGCTCATTTATTTAACTAACAGCACTGTAGAAAAGTTGTGGGGCTTGTCCTTAGCACTTGCCTATGAGAAAAATGCGTTTCGAATCTGATACCCCCCAGATCGTGGACACAGCAGGCACCAAGTCAAAAACAGCACAAGTCAAACTGTTGCACTTTTTTTTGTGTTTACTTGCCCTCAAGAGCTCGCTCTCTCTTGCACGACCAAACAGTTGAGATTTGCCACGAGCTGCCCAGCCCTTCTGTCTGTCACTGACCAACCTAATACGCACACTCTGAAGAAAAGGAAGATGAGATGGGCCCAGGTGTGAGTGCTGATACAGAGCATTTGAGGTGGCATCCCTGTGTCAGGAGGAAAGGGAGGAGAAAATGGCTGGTACCAGGCCACTCTTAGGCAAAGAAAGTTGCCCATTTGCTGGCTCTCCTGTATCTCACATGAGCTCTTCTTGCAAGTCCAACTGCCTGCTCCCATTCTGGCCCCAGACACTTCATACTGCCCCATGCCTCCAAACCTAGTCCTTTACCTCTGAACTCAAATCCTGCGAGCTGCAGCCACCTTCTAGACTGCTGAAGTTTAGGTGAAATAAATCCACCAGGCCTCAAACAAGATGCTCCAAAGACTGCCCTATTTCTGTCCGAAATGCACTTGTGAGGTCAAGATACTCTCATGATAGTGAGAGTTCTCCTCTGGCTCAGGATGCCAAGCAAAACTGTCAATCACACAGACCACCTTGGATCAGCACGGCAGTCTGTGGAGGAAGGACATACAGCGTGCAGCAGCTAAGGTGACATGGCAAGAGCTGTTCAGTGGTCTGAATGGTTTGACAGGCAGCAGACAGGAGACCTGTTGGGTTTGGAGCTGGACTGATGTTAACTTAACTAGCAGCACCAAACCCAGTTTTGCACCAGCCCCACATACTGGAGACTCGGTATCAGTTTAGTGGTCAGGGCTAGAAAGACACTATTCTTACTAAAGAGAAAGTTGCTCATTTAATAACCAAGTAGTGTATTTTGTCCCAGCTTGTCACTGACACCTGAAAACAATACTAAAGACACCAAGGATATGAACTTAGCATGCTCCTGGTCTCATACAAAGCGTCTTTTTAGTGGCAGATTCAGGTCAAAACAGGGTTTATTTCAGACCTTATCAAAATGTGGGTTTCAGAAATAGCCTCACTGGAGGTACAATGATCTCCAAACTTACTCCAAAGTTCAAAAAAGGAAACCTAGCCCATCCTGGTGGTTTTGGGTTACTGTCATCACAGATGTGCATAAACACTTGTGTAAGCAGAAAGCTGCATTACGGCATGGTCAAGCACAAGTCACAGCTCCACACAGAAGTGCAGCTTTGCAGGCCTACACATGCTTGCTGTGAGAGGGTGGATAGCTGCATGTGACTTGCCAAAGCCTTCAATATCCAGCTACTTCTTTTGCCTCAGCACCACAAGCACCACCTCAGGTTTATCTGCCAAGCTCCAGCCCCTGACTGAGCTCCTTAAGTTCATTTTGATACCTTCCCACTGGCCTCTCCCATGCAGAACACAAACAGAAGAGCTTCCCTTCACTTAAAACTACTTTCAGGACTTACATGAGCATCAACCCTGCATTGGCTTCTTCATGGAGGTGAATTTCACACATTTAATGATTTTTGGAGCTCCTTAGCCTTGCAGCCAAAGGACACTCAAGACAGCACATACACACACCTTGGACGGTCCCACCCCCTGAACTGGCTGCTTCTGGTAGCTCTTCACATGCTGTGACCATGCCCCCAAGCTCTCTGCTGGGCCAGCATGTCTAGTACTGCTGCTCCCATAAACCACATGCACTATGCATCCTGGCCAAACCCCGTCAGTGTTAGTAAAACTAATTTCCACCGACCCTGGTTATGGACGTCGTTCTTACTATCGATCTCCGCTGCTTCTTGGGCTTCCCCAGCTCGTACTCATCATCATCCAAATCCTGAACAGAAAGAGGATTCCTGTGTTACCTTTGTGATTTGGGGACACATGAGTATTTACGTGCTAAAACTGTTCCCTCTGTGAAAATGAACCTGCTGCTCCGTCTTCCAGGCTTTCAGCATTTGCCTTAATTGCACTTACGATGGCAGAGGGGAAAAAGGAAGTGAACCAGGTCTGCAGAGAGCCAAGAATAACAGCTTGGAGAAGCAAAACAGACCTAGTTCTGCATTCAAGGAACAAGAATAGTCACAGCCCCATATTTCAGTGGGTTCCTCTCTCAGTACCCTCCAGGAGGTGGAAGGCAGGTGACGCAAGAGTCTGAAGGCAAGTAAGACCCAAACTCAAAAGCATCTCACATCTAGCCAGGAGGTTCTCCGTAAGGACCTATTTTGTAGAAGGTATTAAAGACTAAAAACTGACTCAGACCCCACTGGCCCTTTAATTACAGCTGGGGATCTAGTTGGGTTCTTTCAAGCCAATCAGCATTACAGAAGCAATCAACTGATGCCTTGACCATTAAGCAGAGAAATGCACAAGGATGCTAATGTTTTAGTGTTTAAAGGGAGCTCAAGTCCAAACACATGAACAGATAAATCACAGCATGGTGGAACAAATGGGTTACTGTGCAGGTCTTCTGCCACTGCAGCTAAACACTTGGTGACAGCCTTGCACTGTCATGGCTTAGCTAAAGAAATAAGCTTTTAGTTTCAAGCACGAGCTGAGAGTGTACATGCTCTACTGAAGCTCTCACAGGGAGAAGCCATGCCCTAAACAGTACCTGGCCCTGTACGGCATCATCACTGGCCTCCTGCTCAGAAGAGAAGCTCTCGTACTCTTCCTCGGAATAGTTGTCTGAAAGGGAAGGAAAGATGGGAGAGATCCTGTGAAACTCCTGTAAGGTGAGGGGACAGTCTCATCTTGGGAGCAGAGAAGGCCAACTAACAGTAACAAATCAAGATAGGAGGCACACAAAGAGATGCCTGCTAGTTCATCTTCTATCTATGCTAGAACCAGTAAGATACGAACGGCCTAGAGGTAAGGAACAAGGAGAAACACATCTAGTAGGAAGGAAGGACCAGCACACAGATAGGGCTCCCTGAAACACCACCCCCTTGTACCCTGGAAAGAACCACCTGGTAGACAGCAGCAAGTAAAGAGGTTTCTCCACAAGGGAATTACTTCTCCTCCCTAACATGGGCATAACTGGCTTAAAGGAGTAAGAAAGACATGCCAGGAGACTCTTAAATCCTTTACTGAAATGGCACTTCAGGTGAGCTGCCTGGCCTCAGGCAACAACACACAAGCACCTGTGTGCACCACCTTCAACAGGTCATTCTTCTAGCAGTGAGCAGAAGGCTGGTACCAAATAAAAAGACTGTCACGAGTAGAAACCCAATTACTTCCCTATACAGTGCACAATATCATGGATTTACACTCATTAAACCAGGCCACAGTCCACAGCAAAACATGTTGCAGGTTTGCAGGTCTCATCTAAGTTAATGAGATTTATTGTAGAATACTCAAAGGAAAAGGAAATTGGAAGAGTAGATTAAATGTCAATCTCCTGAATACAACACTGTTAGCCAGTTGAGAAGCTACAGGTTCTCAACACATCCACCAGTAATGCTGGAAGACCGTTGGCAAGAACACAGCTAACCCTTGCTGGATGGCTGAGGCCTGGTGTGATATGCAGGAGAAGCTTCGACAATTTCAATCCCCTACTCCTGTGACACTTCCTGCTTACACAGCAATAGGTTTGCAAAGTGGGTTTTCTTGTATTAATCAGTTACAGACACAGCAACTTGTGCAAACCAGTTCTCATTTGTCCCAGGAAGCATCTAAGCCCAGGTGGGGTTTAAGTCCAGCTAGTTCAGGAAGGCACTGGTCCTCAGAGGATGTGGTTGTGCTCTTACCTGTAGACTTGATTTTCTGGCTGGCTTGCATAGTGCTGTCTTCATGGTCAATTGGCTGACTTGACAAGGAGAAAATCCAGATTTCTGCTACCTTCACTGCAGCCTCTTTGATGTTGCTGAAAAGGCTTAGAACCTGGCCACCTTCTGTTGGGTGCTGCATGACCTGGGACAGAAATTAAGCAGTACAAACCTGCATTTAAATGTATTTAAATTTGCATCATTTGCATACTACAAGAGTTATTTATGTTAACAGAATTACTCCACACTTCCAAGTACCGAAGCAAGCCAATACCCTGCAACTGCAGGAGCCACTTGCAGGCAATACACAATGCTAGTTGAGATTTTGACTAATGGAAGTGATGGAAGGAAAGAAAAAGCATTCTGAACTTGACAGCTGATTAGCTCATCCTTAAAGCACAATACGTAGTAATGAGGCAGTCAAGTATTTGCTTCCACGGCACAGTACTCATTCAAATTATCAAGTTACAAACCTTCTGAACACCTAATGAAGGAACTTAATTTTGTCTTAAAGCTCAGCAGAAGAGCCAGTAAAGGCAAAAATTCTTGGTGAGATACAGATGTAAAGTGCTTCCTAAAGCAAAAGTCTCTGCTCCAGAGAGCTGGCACCTGAAACTCAGAGGAGTTGGCCACCCCTGGATAATGAAGCAGTGGGTCACAAAAAACAAGACAATGGTGGAGGCAGAGGGACATCTTGGTGTGGCTTTCTCCTTCCTTTGCCACTCACAGCTCACAAGGCTCTCCCCAGAACCTAAGACTTACATTCTTCTCTTGTCCCACCAGAGTCAGAAAGCGCTACCCCATGCCTGCACCTCAGCTTTCTAACATGCACCAGGCTGCTTTGTCAGCTCCTCACATGGCTTTAAAAAGACCTGAGCTGATGAGGAACATATGCCCCCCTACTCTTAAACTCTACTCAGACTCACAACTCCAACTCATTGCTTTGTTTCAACAGCTAGAGAACTTTTTTTTTTTTTTTTTTTTAATTTTAAGAAATGTGTCATTGCTGTTTAGGGGTCATTATACTGCAAAGGGGAGAGGAGGGGGAACTTGTAAAATTTGTTTCCCTGAAGTCTTCAATTTCAAAAATATTCCAGATGAGCTGGAGAGCAACTATTTCCTAACACAGTGAACCTTTGAAATTTTTTTACTTTCTAACCTCAGTCAGCTGACATTACAAAAAGACATAAGAAAAACCACATGCAGCAGCAGCAAATGCCCAACACTTAGAAGTTCACCGATGGGTCTAATTAATAGGCCCACATGTTTTCTGCCTTACGGCAGTATTTAATTTCTAGTTCTTAAATCAAACACGGTACAGGAAAAATGTTAGCTACACCACCACATATCAGAAGTTAGAATCATACAATCATAGAATCGTTTAGGTTGGAGAAGACCTGTAAGATCATCCAGTCCAACCATTAACCTACACTACCAAGTCCACACTAAACCAATCAAGGGTAGACTAGACTAAACCATGTCCCAGAGTGCCACATCTACCCGTTTTTTGAACACTTCCAGGGATGGTGACTCCACCACCTCTCTGGGCAGCCTGTTCCGATGCTTGACTACCCTTTCTGTGAAGAAATTTCTCCCAATATCCAACCTAAACCTCCCCTGGCGCAGCTTGAGCCCATTTCCTCTCATCCTATCGCTAACTACATGGGAGAAGAGCCCAACACCCACCTCACTACAACCTCCTTTCAGGTAGTTGTAGAGAGCGATAAGGTCTCCCCTCAGCCTCCTCTTCTCCAGGCTAAACAGTCCCAGTTCCCTCAGCCACTCCTCATAAGGCCTGTGCTCCAGACCCTTCACCAGCTTTGTTGCCCTTCTCTGAACACGCTCCAGCACCTCAATGTCTTTCTTGTATTGAGGGGCCCAAAACTGGACACAGTATTCCAGGTGCGGCCTCACCAGCGCTGAGTACAGGGGAACAATCACCTCCCTGCTCCTGCTGGCCACACTATTCCTGATACAAGCCAGGAATTTAGCCAATTCGAATGGGAAGTTCACCATTTACTGCAAGTCTAAGGGAAGCTGAACTCGCACACAAGGAGTGGCCTTCATAATGAATTATTTAATACAGTAATAACTCATCAGAGCATAACATTAGCTTACTTCGGATGGAAATGATTTGTTGACAGAATGCAGTCTGATGAAAAATACTCGTGTTAAGATGAACTTGCTACTGCTAAGCCTATCTCTAAATACTCAGAAACAGAAACAGCAGAGATTAAACAGGGCATGAAATAATGAAGCATGGAGGTAAGCCATTCAGAAAGCCTTAGTGAATAATTTATCCATACTTGACTCCAGCATTAATTTTCAGATGTAAATCTGAAAATTTTATCATTTACCTCTTGTGAATAGAACTCCACCTACATTACCAACAGCCGTGAAGTAAGAATTGCAAAGGGTGTTTCAAGCAAAATGAGAGAAACTACTTGATCCTGCACAGAACAGCACAGCAAGGGTTGGAAGGCTTGCCTGAGTGACCCTATCTGTCTTGTTCTGCACTTACGATCTGGACCCCCTAACCCTAAAAAACCCACACAGCAACAACAAAACCCTCACAAATTAATAACCTAGCTTTGTGAAAGCTTTAGCTCTCAAGATAGTATCCAGAAAGTGTCCAATATTATTACTCAGTAGTAAAATTTGTTTAAAATATTGCCCTGTGAATACTGATTGCAGTTATTAAGACAGCTATATGAAATCCTGCCAGGTACTTCTCAATGAGGAAAGTGGCAACACTGGGTTTAAAGAAAATGGAAAACGTCCACCTTTGTAAACAGAGATCATATCAAATGCTGCTCACCTCAGCCATGTTGATAGACCCCACAGCCAGAGTCTTGTAGCCTAAAATAGTACGGTTCTTGTACCGCTTCCGACGCTGAAGCATGATCTGAAGCTTGTTGCCTTCTCTCTTCAAGAAGTGAGGGTACTGTGGTTGGAAACACAATCAAAAAGTTTATTACATCTCTTGACACTATCTCCCAAGCTTCCTGCTTCACAAATAAACTCCATTCCTAGGGATTAACCCCGGAGCTTTTAAAAGTCCCTACAGCTAACTCGCACTCAGTGGACAATCCTTCATTATCCCAAGGAAGCCTCCATCTCTCAAACAGCTCAGCTCTGGGTTTTCATTTCTCCAGTGTTGTGGTTTAGCCCCA